GCCGCCGCGGCGGCCTCCCCCGGGCACGTCCGCGTGGGCTGTGCCGGGCACGCGCTGCGCCCGCGGCCGTTAAGAACACGTAGCGTCGAGGCAGCGGGAGGAGCGGCCGCAGCCGGCGCCGTTGTTTCCTCCAGCCCGCTCCTTGTGCGGGGCTGCAGCTCTCCCAGCCCGCCCGCTGAAGCGGTAAGGCAAGGCACGGGTTTTAACTTAAAGCTCGATATCTTGGAGAGCAGACGTGCCCAGGTGCTCAGCAGAGAGGGCAGCTGCTCCCGGGCTCCTGAACCGTGAGCAGGTGGAGAAGAAAAGGACCCCAGCATGCAACTGCTGCGCTCTTACAGGGTATAGCTGGTAAAGCTTATTAAGTAGTGTGTAAGTTTGATATGTTTTCTTTACTCTGTGTGATGCACTGCAGAGCGAAGGATGGTTTCTGCCCCTCACAATGCTTGTCTCCAGTCCTCTGGTGCTGAGCCCAGCAGGAGACACGGAATGAGCGTAGAAAGGAGCCTCTCCAGCGTAGGACCAAGGATTGAGATGGGTTACAAGCCTTCTCCAGGCTTTTCTTGACTGCTTAAAGCATTGCTATAGCTTTATTACTTTAGAACAAAACAAAAATTATAGTACTACAGGTCTCTGCTTAAAACTCTTTAGTTTCCTCTTCATCTTAATGAAATATTCCCTTTTCTCCCCCTCTTTTTTTTCATTTCTTTTCACCTCCTCAACTTTTTACGTAGAGGAGAAGGGAGGATTCAGAACTCGTAGCAAGTATATGAGTGCATTAGTGTGTGTGTTCCCTTGCGCTCCTGGGAGAAAGGCTGCTCATTTCTGTACTTTTTTTTTTAATTTCTCAGGAAAATGGGAGTCTCATGGGGAAAAAGAAAATTGCCTTTCTTTTCTTGCAAGTTACTAATAGAGCTGCTCTTTGAAGTTGATCAAAACATGTTGAATAGATTTTAGCCGTGTTCGGCAATGCTAATGAAACATCCACCAGTACTTCAGCATTGTGAAAGGGGCTTTGGAGACCAACGTTACAGTGGGTTTCTGAACATAAAAGAAAAATTATCTTGTGTTCTTTTAGTGTCAGTGCGGTGCCTGCAGTGATAGAGGTGGGGGAAGATAAGATGGCTCTTCCTATAACAATATATTGCAAAAATATTTATTGGATTGGGTGAAGCTTGGGCTCTATCCTGTGTGGCTGTAGGAATTCAGTGTAGGATGCCCCGCGGTAGGAGTGAGGGTGATCCTACTCTCTGCAGTGCCTGTGTGAGCATCTCGCCGCTGGCCACACCGCGGGCTCTCACCTGCAGGATCTCTTTGGCCTTCCTGTAGGCACCCTTGTAAGTGCTGCCCAAAGGGTGCCTTGCACATGGTGTCGTCTTTTTTTCAAGTTGCTCTTGTGGTTACTTTGCTGTGGTTATGAAGGCCGTTGGTTCAGATGCCGTGGGAGGAGGAGGCAGCACGGAGAAAAGGAGAGAAGTGGAGTTAATATTCTTATTTTCAAAAATGTTGTAATTTAAATGCTTAGTTACAGTATTGAGCATATGTTTTTCTCAACAAACACAGGTGTATTCTTAATTTGCTGATAACTTCTGATTAATTAGCTTGATTCTTTTCAGCTGGAGCTAGGTATTTACTACATAGGGCATTCACAACTTAGGTCCTGGGTGGAACTGAGAATCACACATCAAAAACTTTCAGCTGTGCCTTGTGGTAGGTGGTAAATAGAGCTGGGAGGCCGCAGCCTGTGTTTTGTTTACCCAGGTATTACGCCGTAGATGAACAGACATGTTAATGTCAGAAAACTTGTTATGAGTCATGCAGTCTTAAGTTATTAATATCTAACCTGCATATTTGTATAGATTATCTTGCATGTATGTTCAAATCAGTTGTACTGGACTTGGAATGTAGACTTTTTCTAATTTGAGGTTGTGCTTGGGTTGTGTTTACAACAAATGAGTTTGAATTCAAATCCTGACTGGTGAAAATCAAATTGCAATTCTATACTAAGCTAAAGTTTCATAATATGGGTGTTCTCCTCTTCCAATTATTTGATTTACAATTGCTAATATGACTAATTTCTAGGAGTGTAATATGTTGGAAAGAAGCTAGAAAACAGTTGAGAATCCTGTTTAGGATGTAGTGCTGGCAAATTGTCGTCTTATTTACAGCAAGGAGTTCCATAGACTTCCATTTATCAGAGCAGAATTGTGGAGAAAAAAAATTTAATGGAGTATTTTGAATTTAATTTTTATTGATGTCATTGCATTTCAAAATACTGCGTTTGCATATCCTGAATTAGTCTTATGGGAGCAAGACTATCATGCAAGGTCTCAAATCGTGTGTAAAATCTGATATTCTAAACTAGAATTATCTCATACTTTAGTTGAGGAGGTAGTTGCCTAAGAAACTGAAGAGATAAATGTCAATAAGGAATCACTCATGTGGTTAAGGAATATGGCAATAAAACAATTTTTATTTGTTTTTGCTGCTGTTAGGAGGTTTGACAGTGTTGTGTTATAAATATGATTTGCTTATTTGGGAGATACTAACTTGTGGTTTGTTCTGTTTATTGTGGAACCGAAGTTTCAGACTTATAGTAAAGAATACTGTAGTTCAGCATTATTGAAGTGATGTTGAAATCTAAAAAAAAAAAAAAAAAAAAAAAGTCTTGCTTAAACCCAGCAAACCCACCCATCTGACCCCAAGACCTTAAATAGAGATCAAGCTATTGGTATTCAAGGAATAGTTTGAGTTGCTGGATATTTATTTTGGTATTTTCTGGTAGTCAAGAGAACCTCTGCATGAAAGTACAAATGTCTGCTGAGCTGGAATTCAACAAGTGCACATTTGAACTTTAACAATAACAAAAATATTTACTCTTTAAAACAATTTTCCTCTGAATGAAAGCGAAATGTTGGTGTTCTTGCTGTGTAATCTAAAATGCATGCAAGGGGATTTAACTGAAAAAAAAAGTTGAAATTGTTTGTAGACTGTAGCTAAACCATTAACAAAAATGATAAATTCACACTTCTAGCCCATGAAAAATTGAAGTGTGAAAATGATTTTTATTGTTTAGTGCATTTGTGCTGCAGGAAAGCTGTTTTCTAAGCAAACATTATCTTTAAATATTAACGTTGTTTAAACATTACCTTTGCAATGACACTGACTCAAAGTCAGGAAAACAACAAAACATTGCTTAATTGAAGTGAAATGGGATATTTCAAATTTGTTTTATTGAACTGGAGTTATTGAAAGGGTAGTTGACTAGCTGACTTTGCTTTAAACTAGTCATTTTCTCAAAAACACTGGGATTGAGTATGGGATTTTTTTCTGTTTTTGTTTTTTGATTGCTTTATTTAAACTTAATTTCTTAATTTTCTTTGGTAAAATATGTCTTTTGAAATTACTGTTTCATACTGAAAAATGTTTTGTTCCTGTAACACTGCAGCTATCTAAAATAATTGCCACCTGGTCAGCCTACTGTTAATATTTTTGGGCAGAGGAAGACTGTATATGTTGCATAATCTATCTTGGCTTTAATGGAAGTATGACGAGCAAACGCAGGTACTACGCAAATGTGTTTGTTGAGGTAAGAAAGCAAGATTAATGCATCATTCATCTGCACTGGTTCTAAAATTTAACACAGTTCTGGGCATTGCATTTTATAAGTGGTCTCTGATAGCACATGATAATGGAAGTGTAAAAAGTTGTGTCTAAGCATAAGGAATTAAGTATTACAAATTAAGTAATTATTTGTACAGTAATGTGGAATTTGTCCTTCAATCGTTCTGTCTTATTCAAAGAAAAAAGAAAAATGCAGCTAGGCCCTTTGTCCATATAACAAGTATGTAATATATATGGAATAGAAAGATATTTTAGAGGTTGAGATGACTGCAGACAGCAAACACCCTATTGGTAACACATTTTTACTTCAGATTAGCTTATCTGCAGAGCTTCAGAATTTTCTCTCCTTTTTTCCCTTTAGTGGGGGAATTGTTAAAAATAAAGTGAGTTTCAGGAGAGTTTGCATATATGTATAAAGAGTAGCTAAATTTGAAACAGTATGTATAAAGAGTAGCTAAATTTGAAACAGATGTGCACTGGAGTTTAGAATTATTCTCATCCCTTTCTTATCTGTTTAGCCTGAACATTTAAAATCAAATATTTCACTTTGTCAGGCTGGCTTTCAAGCATGACTGTCTTGCCTATTAGACGAGAGAAAATGCTTTTTGCTCTAAGAAGAAATGCTAGTCACGGCTGAACCTGAATCAGCTTTCCAATGTCTGAACTAATGGAGTGAAATCAGATGTGTTTCTGTATGGCTGCCCTGATAATTATATTTTTCTAGTTGCAGTTAAATTCTGTGTGTGGTCTGTGGAAATCTTCTGGAAGGACTTCATAAAACTTACGCAGAATCAGGAAAACTTAAAACCTAAACACTTTTCCTTTGATTGTTCCTAAGTCCTGTAGCTATGCTAGAGTGTGGTGGTAATCATGTCTTCATATACAGATAATTTATTTGGTATATATTTGACTTCTGATCTCAGTTCACGTTTTTTGTTTTGTTCTTGGCCTCTGTTATCCTGGATAGGTCACTGTTTGATCTTGGTAGTATAATGCTAAAAATCAGCTTCCTTTTTAGAACAGAATGAAATTTTTAACTTAATGTTAGATAAAGGTTCATATTTTAAGGATATTGAGTTTATTCTAACTAGAAAAAAAAAGAATATAAAATATTTATGAGTTTATTTGAGGTTAGGCAAAGATAACTGTCTGAGAGGGGCAGATCTCCAGTAGGATTAATAGCATGTGTGCTTCCAGCAGAATATAACAGTACCCTTTGTATAAACTATAAGAGCCCCTTTTTATTACCTAGTAATTCTATAGGATTTTTCATTGAAATACTTTATGAAAGTGAGAAACATTACTATAGTTTTACAACTGGGGAGATTGAGGAAGAAAGAAATGAAATTGCCTGCCAAAAGCTATTCAGCAAATCAGGGGTAAACAACCCTGTTAACGGAGTTGCTCATGATTATTGTATTAGAAATCAGTTATCTGAGCTAAGAAACTTCGGTAGGTTGGACATTCTGAATATCCAAAACATCAGATTTTGGCACTCTGCTCTGAAATATTTTCCTGTTGTAGCATTTAGCAGCCAAGCTAGCAGAACTTATAGGAAGGTAGGAAAAATGTTGGCTGCTTTCATCTTGCTCTCAGTCTGATGTTGTAATCCTCTTTTCATCTAGAAATGTCAAATGCATGCTGTAGTTCTGGTATTATGTTACCATAAAATATATATTAGAGTCTCGTTATAACTGTAGTATCTCCATGAACTGCAGAACTGACCCAAATGCCTACATGACATCTTGAGCGGTCTTTGCAGTCCACAAAGAATCCTGCTGTGACAGCAGGAAGGCTCCTGGTACTTCAGAAACTAATTCAGAGCTAGTTAGGGTATCTGGATGTACCTCAAGACTCCTGCTTCTTTATACAGCATTTCTATATGTATATCATTATTTCCTACTGGAACTCTGTAACCTCAGAGAGCATGTCTTGGACATTTGTAGTGTCTCTGGGACACTTCGTTTTTTGAGGGAATCGGTCTATGGAAAAGAGACAAAGCATTTTTGACCAACTCCCTCCATTTTCCCCAGAAAATACGTCTGTGTGTGTGTGCGTGTATATTTAACCAAGTATTAGCTATTTTATGTTGGTGATCTCTGTACTTTTACTGCCCTGGAAAAACAAAGATAAACTCTTATAAAAGTATCTGCTGGTAGAGAAGCTTCATAACATTAAGTAGTCAATATTCAATAGTGTCGCTTTCCTCTGCTTTGCTTTTTGATGTCTTAAGCATGGCAGTTCAATGAAGGAATATAATGAGCATCTGACTTGTGGAAACTAAAGAAGTAAAAAATTAAATTCCTATCGAAGTACTTGATATACGGAACTCAGTAGATACTGATAAGGCATGCTTTAGAACAGAGGGATACTGCTGGTACTCTTGTATTTTTGTTGTGCATTCATATTGCTCAGTGTGAGAAAGACATGAGAATGTGATTACAAGAATAACAAAGCAGAAGAATAATGAAGTTGAAAATCTTAACCTGACTTCATGCGATTGGAAGGTTTCTCTGTACCTCTGAAAGGTTAGTCCTGAGATGAAGGACATGCAGCCTCCTGTTGTGTGGGATGGGAAAGCCATAAAAAGCACAGCATGCCTAGGTCATGAGTCCCAGCCTGCATCTGCTGAGATTGCTTTTGCTTTATTCATCCCTGTGAGGGCAAAAAATGCATGAAGAGCCAAGGAGAGCTTTGGGGTTTGCTGCTTAGATTTGCTCAGAGATCTCTTTGGGATTTGAGTTAGGGTTGGTGTGCAGTCCTGGTGTGCAGCTTCTGTCTTCAGCACTGCAGTAGTGGTTTTAAAACCTAATTGCGGAGGGGGAAGCAGTGAAGAAAGCCTGTTTTTACCTCTTCTTAGGTTTTATTTGAGAGGATAACCTGTGTCACTTCCCTGGTATCTTGCACAGCACATTTGGGCTGGCGAGCTTGACTGCACAGCATGTCTGCAGTCATCTCTGCAGAGAGGTCTCCTCCCACACCGCTTTGAAGAAGCGCTAGCTGAGCACAGGCAGACTCTGCATCCCTGTCCAAGGAGGCAGATGTTTTTCCCATGCGGTTCCATTCCCTCCCCCACCGCCCGGGATATTCTCAGTCATCCCTTTCCTAGGCTAGAAACCCTGCTGCCTTTTAGTCTGACTTCCTAAGGGTTACTGTTCCTCTCAGCAGTAAGTCTTGCAGTTCAAAATTTTTGCCAGTGGTGGGTTCCCTAAGTTGGGATGTTAGTGTGCTCTGGCCATCTGAATGGGCTCTGTGCAGGACTGCTAGAACCAGGTTCTTCCCTGTTCATAGAGCACAGCCTTTGTTCTTAGGGCTGGTCGTTCATATTCTTACAAAAGCATAGCACAGGTAAATTACCCCACCGCCACCCTCTTATGCTTGTTCTTAGGGATTGAGTCATGATTTAAAGCAAAAAAAAAAAAAAAACAATTTACATGTTTTTGTATCTTGTATTGTTCCTACTGCTCACTTCATATAGTTACAAATTCCTTTTTTCCATAAGCTGATTGTTACTTATTCAGCAGGGTCAGTGGCCTGTCTCCCTGTCTAACTTCTGTACAATTAACAGCTTTGCCTTGGTTGATTTAGTGGGAAGTCACTCTTGAGTGTGGGGGTTTGGTTTTGTGTCCTCTGAAATCTAGATCAAACCTTTTGCACTTACTTTGTCTAGAAAACCAGTTACTTTATAGATAAAACACATCTAGATCTGGCAAGCTCTGTTTAACTTTGACTTCTGGTTGTTTAATTTAATAATGGATTTTAGAGCCACTTTTAATGGGAAAAATAGTGGATTTGTAGCTGAAGGTTTTTTTTTTATTTTTGTAATATAGATGATTCTTGCTATTCTGTGTGGTTTCTAGGCTTGTGATAGCATGTGTGACTTTAGGGTGATGTTGATAACTTGAGTACATTGCAATCTTTTGTCTGTAAGTATTGCTCCCACTTATTTTCAGTCCTTGCCTTTGAGCACAGATGAAGGCAGAGTGTCCATGCTGAAATGAGAGGTTTCCTACTTTAGCCAGGTTCAAAGCTGCTGACTTCTGGAAGTCCTCTTTTAACTCCTTTCTGTGTATGTGTGTCTGCTTTGACGTTGGTTTGTGCCTTCCCTCTAAACCTCCACTGCTTCCAAACACTGTTAGCCTGGATGGCTGTTAGTCTTAGCTCAAAGGGGGATCCCTTTCTGCAGAAGCGTTTCTCCTTAGATGAGTTAGAAATCTAAAACAGGCTTTTGCTTAGGAAACCAAAGCAAGAATTCTTCTGTTTGTCTCTGTTTAATTGGTTTTTAATTAGCTCTCATAGCTTGCCCTTGGGAAACAGATGGACAGGTAATAGCTTGTTCTGCAAAACCATGTGGCAAGTTTTTCTTACTTACTGGAATGTTACTGCTTGAAATAATCCAATTGCTTTGTCCACATGACAACTATAAAATGAGGATGGAAAGATTCAAACTGACTGTAAATGCTCACCTGAATATTTTATTTGTAGGTGCAGAGAATATTGCACCTTTTTGCAGAAAGGGGGCTGAAGTGTGTGGAAGCGTGATCTCACTTTCCTGAAGCCAGTTGCATGAAAGAGAATCAGAAGGCTATGACAAATAGCACAGTTTCTTTACTGTAGTTTGAACACTACCATAACATACTTGTTATGGTTGGGATTCTGCTGGAACTGTATCTTGCAGGGTAGACATGAGATTGTGTGCTCTGAAAACGTCTTTCAGCATAGCTGTCCAACCTGGTTAGGATGGACAGCTATCTACCTGGATGGTGGTGGTGCAGGTGGTGGCCTGGCTTAATGTGTAGACTGGCACACGTCCTGGCAAGGCTGGTTTGATGCTCATGTTCTAGAGGAGCTCCTGAGCACGGCTGAGGGGATCCATCTGCTTTCCCCATGCAGGATGTGCAAGGAGGGGATGGTGAAGGTGCATCTGAAGGTGATGCTGGCACGAGACAGTCTCGTCAGCCAGTA